CAACGGCCGGCACGTGGCACGACAGCAATCGTGACGTTGTACCACCTGCCAGCACACAAGTGCAAGTATCAACACCTCACCCACAGCAGCGTGCAAAGCATGCCACGTGTCACCCCTGGAATGCTAACGCAGCACATGTGCCACGTCAGCGTCAAGAGCCAGCATGACCTTCAGCAGGGATACCACGTCAACAGTGCCTGGACTGCCAACTCATCCACCACTGGTATGCCACGTCAAATCGGAGTAATGTCGCTGAAGCATGGAGCGCCAAGTCAGCAGGTAGTCGCAACACAGGTACGTGCCACGTCAGATAATGTCTTGCCAATAGTAGGATGCCACATCAGCACCCCTACGCCATGCCACGTAGGCAGCGCGCCACGTCAGCAGTCCCAATATCCACTCTCTCTCGCTCTTTCTCATCTACCAGCGACTCGTCAGCCTGCTGCCAACGATACTCTCGCCGGTATGTCAATGCCACATAACCAATGCCGCCGTCTTCCTCTTCAAAGTGTCCACGTCATCAGATTCAAGGGGGCTGCATGCACGTGTGGTACTCAATGACTAGACTCGCGATATTAATCGCGCGCGTTTATAAACGTGTTTCGTCCCATACACGTGCAGCACCTCCCACTTACCCAGGCGCCACGTGGCAGCTAACAGCAGATTGCGAAATACCAAATTGTAATGAACCCAGTCTGTAAGATACTCGCCAGACGTCGAAATACAAGATTACTTAGATCTGAAGGCGGCCTCCAATAATCATGAATGCGATCTCTGATACAGTGTCTCGTTACCAGTAGACGAAGAGAGTGGAGGACGAATAGACAGATTAGAGGGTGGAAGAGATAATAACCATCAATGACCACCAAGGGAGTAGCCCAACATTTCCCACTCCTTCTTCAGGCTTCCCCTCGCATCCACGTCAACAAACAGTATCCAGTAACGAGTCTGACAGGTTCTGATCACATCGAATGGCCACGTGGCACAGTTCTCTCGTGAAGATGTTGGAGATAATCAACAGCGCACCGTATCGACATCAACCTCAGGTAAGTATCCCGATCCTCCTCAATCATCCACAGATCCGATCTCCCTCCTTGTCGCGTCCAGTCACCCAATGTAGACAGTGTGGCCAATGCCACATCAGCGATGAAGACAGGTGGCATGCGCCACATCAGCAATGAAGACAACTGGCATGCGCCACATCAGCAATGAAGACAACTGGCATGCGCCACATCAGCAATGAAGACAACTGNCAATGAAGACAACTGGCATGCGCCACATCAGCAATGAAGACAACTGGCATGCGCCACATCAGCAATGAAGACAACTGGCATGCGCCACATCAGCAGAGGCTGGCGCTCAGCAGAGAAGGCTCCACCATGCCGCCTTAGTCTTGCCACGTCGTCCACAGTGCCAGTGCCCAGCCAGCGTCCAGCCAGCGTCAAGCCAGCGTCCAGCTAGCGTCAAGCCAGCGTCCAGCAGTCGTCGAGCCAGCGTCCAGCTAGCGTCAAGCCAGCGTCCAGCAGTCGTCGAGCCAGTGTCAAGTCAGCATCGCAAGACTGAATGTTGACTCCCTGGAGGCAGGGTCTTATGTGGTGATAGACCGAGTTGACCTGCCTCAGGTCTCCTACTCACGGTGGCTCAGATTGACTCACAGTCGAGGGCCTGGATTGCATACACTTGCAGACTTCCACTTGATCCGAATGCTGTATTGGTACCAACATACAAACAAGTGTGTGCGTCTGACCGGTGTCCCGGGCTGGGTCCATATTGACTTTGACTGTTGGGCCTCAGGCAACTGACTGAAGTCAACTGTCGGGCGCTCAGGCCCTGGCACCTCTTCGGGGGGTCTTTTGCCCTTTCAGCCTGAAGACCGAGTTGTGGCCTGGCAAGGCCCTTACACATTCAACGAGCCATATGAAGCAGGTCACTGCAAGCAATAGGTGGGCCCAATTTTTTTTTCTGTGCCCTCAGAATTTGTAGAAGGGACGGGCACATTTGGCTACCTCAGCAGCACCCTCATTACCCCCCCGAATACCCGTTATAACTCCCCCATACCCCCCTGTACCCCCACGACCTCCCGCTACCCCCCCCGGCATCCCTATAAGAGTTTCTCAGCAGATTTGGGCTGTACTCAGCAAGCGCAGTACAGCCCCCAACTCAGATTTGAAAAACAATCAGTGGATGGCTGTTTTCTGACTGGTCGGCAGACAACCGACTAATCCGCCTTGGTGGTCGGCTGCAAAACGGTCGGCGGTCAACAACGTACCACCGGACTCCTCACAAAAAAAA